TTATCGGCCCTGCTGTATAAGCTACTGCTTGGCCCCGACATTGCGGACCAGGAACAGCAAGCAGGTGCTTTCAGGGGGAGCAATGTGCTTCTAAATACCACCCCCACCATCGAGCGCAAGCTTGGCCAAAGGAGTATTTTGCCGTGCACTCGTCCGTGGCCCATCCCTGTTGTTTTCATACCTTTCTCGGCCTTTTGGCTCAGATCATGTGTAGTATCTGTTCTTATTAGCTTAATCGCTAATATGGTCCTCATTGAGGACCTGCGATTAACTTGAATATTTTTCGGGGGCTTGTCAATGGTGCGCTTGCGCATCCGACTTGCCAGCATGGTTGCGGCCTTACACTACCGCTGCAGCCGTGCACCCGCCCATACGAAAATGTACAACTGGGCTGGAGGGTGCCGTGCGCTGCTGAGCTGTGCTGTGCTGATCGCTGTGCTGTGCTGATCGCTGTGATGTGCTGTGCCCATCCATCTGCATGCTTGTAAACCCAGCTGTAAGCTCGTCCAACGTGTGCAGTACCTGACGTGCTCGTGGTAACCATTCCATCAGTCACCGCCCCGCGCCGCGTGGGAACGACTTCAATCAGGCATCGTACATTACTCGTACGGCACCGTACGTACAGCAAAAGGAGGACCGAGCGGATTTGTGCACATGGCCTAGGTAATAGGGTGTGGCGGCCGCTTGATCATGACGCCGGTCGTTATTTGCATATGTAGAGGTAGGTACCCCGGTAGGTAAGTAGGTAGAGGGCCGATGTGATTGTGGATAGGGAGGCTGCAGGAAGGCAGGAAAGCAGCAGGAAGAGAGGCTTGTGATGGCTGCACACCGCCCTGTGAAACCCCCTGATACCCCATGCACGCCTCGCTGTGCTGTGTTTTCCTGTCCGGGTACAGATGCCCTTCCTTGGCCCGTACGTGTTCGATGTGGATGCTGTGGATTCCAACCCCTGCGCATGGCATGGCCGCGGCGGCCTCACGGTTGGCTAGCGCCAAGTGTCCATTACAGGGCACACGTTGCTTTTACAATGCCAAGCCTTTATACAGCCAAATCTTTGTTTTCTTGAGTAGTTGCCTTACCGCTTAGGGGTCGTTCAGACGGAGGGGTACCTGCAGGCAGGAAAGTTAGTGCTTGCTTCCGTGGGAGGGGGCGAGCCTGGTTACCGAGCGACTCTGCTTCTGAAGCCTGTAGGTTAGGCAGAAGCCGCAGCGGAAACCTGTCAGCATGAACTCGCTATGAACTCGCGAAATTGCTCTTTCCGTCGCACTCCTGCGACTTATTCTAGCCCTGTACGGTCCAGCCGTACACACCCAGGACATTCAACCGAGTACACACTCGGCAAATACACAGAAAACTTTGGTTTTCTTTCGTTTCGCTCATAAAGCCTACAGTTACAGGCGCGATATCTGACGCGCAGCTCCACCTCCGCATGCCTGTTTTTTTCAAGGTCTGTGGCGTCAGCTTCACCCGGCTGCCTTGACTGCTGCTGCAGCAGGCGGGCAGGGACATGGATGGGTCCCTACTGACTGGACTCCGCTACACCGCTCTGACGGATTGAAGCAGCGGCCGAATCACCAGCTCTGTGCATTAGCTTAATCGGCCCTGCTGTAATAAGCTACTGCTTGGCCCCGACATTGCGGACCAGGAACAGCAAGCAGGTGCTTTCAGGGGGAGCAATGTGCTTCTAAATACCACCCCCACCATCGAGCGCAAGCTTGGCCAAAGGAGTATTTTGCCGTGCACTCGTCCGTGGCCCATCCCTGTTGTTTTCATACCTTTCTCGGCCTTTTGGCTCAGATCATGTGTAGTATCTGTTCTTATTAGCTTAATCGCTAATATGGTCCTCATTGAGGACCTGCGATTAACTTGAATATTTCTCGGGGGCTTGTCAATGGTGCGCTTGCGCATCCGACTTGCCAGCATGGTTGCGGCCTTACACTACCGCTGCAGCCGTGCACCCGCCCATACGAAAATGTACAACTGGGCTGGAGGGTGCCGTGCGCTGCTGAGCTGTGCTGTGCTGATCGCTGTGCTGTGCTGATCGCTGATCGCTGTGCTGTGCTGTGCCCATCCATCTGCATGCTTGTAAACCCAGCTGTAAGCTCGTCCAACGTGTGCAGTACCTGACGTGCTCGTGGTAACCATTCCATCA